TACTATACTATACTGTCACACGGAGATGTTGGACTTGGAATTCATACGAATAATACTGGAAATACTTTATTTTCGCTAAGTGAAAATTAAATCCACCAAATATACGAAACACCCAAATGTCGAAAATTAATTCCAGCTAAAATAACGTATTTTACAATATATAACTTTTTTGTTCCGTGTCACCAAACAACTTGAAATTTTGAGATATGAAGAAATAATTTCACCATAGAAACCAGAGAAAATATGCAAATTAGCATGACATTTCGGACTAAATTTTTGTTTATATTCGGTATCCTATAATTATTTTATAATGACAAAATTACGGCTTATTGTCACTGATCAAGTGAATTAACTATGTATTAAGTCTCTTAAACACATAGTTTATTATAACAGACGCTTGGTATATTATGTTATAGTACGACTGTTTCAATGAACAACACAACTGAAATGTTTATAAATTGGCGATCTTCTTGCAGTACATTTCTGTGTACCTGCTCCATGACAACCGACCCCAATATTTCTAGGCCCATATCAATGTGTGACCATGTCCTATGCGTATTGCATATTACTCTGACAATTCGCAACATTAAAAGCTTGTCATGTTCCACTTTCAGGTCGTGTCTTGGTTCACGAATGGGGACATCAACGTTATGGCCTGTTTGATGAATATGGTCAACCCGACGAAGACTATCCCGACTATTACATCGATAGTAGTGGGAAATTGCGTCCCACTGGGTGTATGGAAAAACCGAAAGGATGGAATTTAAACAGATATACGTACAAAAAATGCAAAAAGGACAAAAAAACTGGTCTCTTTGAGAAAGATTGCTACTTCTTCCCCAATTTATACACCAATAAAATACCGGCATCCGTCATGTTTTTGCAATATATTCACTCGGTAAGGATGGTTGGTGTCGTCATTTATTTGAGATTAATTTCATTCATAACTATTATAGTGTACCGCGAAATTTAAAGATTTTTTTGAAATCTGGCTTCTTGGGAAATTCAATGTGTGTCATGTTTTTATTTACCATTCTGTAATAACTGAATATGACCATTGCGTACATAATCTTTCCTCGTTAATTCCAAGTATTTGACACGACTGTCTACAAACACTGTCTGACAAACCTATAATCTCAGCCATAATCAAATCATTGAGAAGTGTATGTCGACCTCTAGACTGAAGAGGTGCAATCTACTCCATCTCTTACATAGTCAAGTTACTGTTAGTAAGTTATAGTAGAAGTCAGAGAAACGGCATTAAGGCACTCCAAAATCATTTTAGTTCATTTAATTGTGAAATATCCTCGAACCTACTGTGATCTTCCATCTTTTATTATTATTATGATGTCATCACACGTGTACGTGTTTCACCTTGCAGGTGGACAAGTACTGCGATGATAGCATGCATAACAGGGAAGCACCAAACAAACACAACGCCATATGCCAAGGACAGTCAACATGGAGTGTAATATTGCAGCACCCTGACTGGGTTGACAATGAGCCTGCCGATGTGCCTTCCACCATCCCGTCATTCAGACTTCTGTATCCACGATATAGGAAGATTGTACTTGTATTAGACGTATCGGGGAGTATGTCAGTAAGTTAATAGTAATTAAGTAAATATTTTTTCAACACAATGTCAAAGAAAATTACAACAACATTTTTATTTACTTTGACGCAATGCTCAGAATTCCCACATATTTATAGATGAAGGATGGATATGAAGTTAGAAGCTCACTGAATCTAGAAAATGGAATGGATAATTCTAGAAATTCCGCATCTGTCTTTATACGACTGATGCGATAATCACGTTTCCGCTAACACTCAGTATGTATTTTGGCGGTTTTAGTTGAAATCCAGGATAATAAAACTACAACAGGCGGTGTATACTTTCATCATGGACGAAATCAGCCTTGGGATAGACGTTGGTTGTGTAACATTCAGTGACAAGGCGAATATCATAAGTTGGTTAATGCCGATAAACAGCGACGAAGACAGGGAAGAATTCTTGGCATTGGTTATGCCAACGCTAAATACAGGTGGAAATACAGCCATTGGTTCGGCACTTATTGCTGGTGTGCAGGTACGAGTTATTTATCTTTTTCAGGTAATTATATTCTGTAGACGTGTCATAATATATATGTTTATATGTCCTATATACTATTAACATTCACAGGTGCTATCTCAAAACGACACACAACCTGCTGATGGGGGTATACTCTTTCTTGTAACCGACGGGCAAGAGAATGTTCCGCAATTTATCGAAGAAGTAATTGATAATGTCATCGAGTCCGGTGTGATTGTAGATACCCTTGCTTGGGGACTCTTTGCAGAGGAGAAACTGGAAACAATTGCTTCTGGCACCAAAGGGTCTTCTTATTATTATTCTGAACAAGCACAAAGTAATGCACATGTTGAAGCATTCATGGAAGTTGCATCATCATCATCTTCTGATTCGGAAAACGATGTACCAGCACTTGTGAGTATGATAAATTGAGTATGCCCCTTCCATTCTGCCAACTGAGCACTACACCTTCCTATCAGTTAAGTCACGTTTGCAGATGAGCCTTCAAACATCATATGACAGCTGAACACAATATCATCTTAGCACATTCTAAATGAGATCTCCATGGCATCTAAGCTGTTCGCCATCTTGCCAACTGAACCCCCCCCCTACCATGCTAGCTATAACTCTTATTCCAATACCATGCCAGTATTTCATGACCTTGACAACTGAGGTCTCGCGACATCTTACCAAATTGCTAATTCCACTTGGGTTTCATCATCTTGTCACCTTGTCCTTCACTAAATTGCCAACAGACATGTCTCTTAGTATTGAAATGCTAAGCTTAAAGCATACACAACTGGAGATGGAGAAAACAAATATTGGTATTATCTCTACTGAATAATAGTTATAATGACTTAAACAATGAATAGGAGGTAACAAATTAACTGACTTTAATTGTTCTGTCAACAGCTAACCAGTTTTGGACTAGAACTACCGAATGAAGAGACATTCACTGATAGCTTTTACATTGACGAATCAATTGGTGCCAATACACATGTGATTGTGACTTGGGCTAAAGATGTGAATAGAAATCCTTTAGTTGTCACGGTAACATCGCCAGCTGGTGGCCTTATTGATGAGTCTTCATCTGAATACATTTATGATAAAAAACTTGGTAGAGTTTCCATCAAATTACCAGGGATTGCTGAGGTAGGAATGCTCTTTTAATTTAGTATGTGTATGGATAAAAAAACGAATACTGCCCTGTGTGCTGCAGAAATATGTTTTATTTAAACCCCATTATTCAAATACCTCAATAATAGTAACATTACCTCGGTGTCTGGCTAGAAGTCGATACGATAGTTATTATTGACAATTCATCCTAATAATAAATTGCTCAAATGATGGTTTTCTTTCAGATTGGTCTTTGGAAATACACAATATCAAACCCAACACCGGCACCCCATGACCTGAAACTACAAATTACATCCAGGTCTCGGGATGGAAGTGGTGCCATAACCATGACATCATGGACTAGTAGTGAACAGGTGGACTTTCCCTCGTTTCAATACATTTATGCTGAAATCAAGAAAGGACAGTTTCCTGTTGGTGGATTATCAAATGTCATCGCTCATGTTGACCGTCCCCTCACTGAGCCACTGGAAGTTATACTCAGAGATAATGGCGCAGGTACAACAACCAAAACATTTTTCTTTACATTTCTTAAGCTGCGCCAAACATGGCTTATAACAGTTTGTTTTTTTCATTTTATTTAGGCGTTGATGTTAATAAATACGATGGAATTTATTCTGGAAGTTTCGTGGGTTTCGCACGAGATGGTAGATACAGCGTGAAGGTGTCAATAAAAACAGATGGAAACACCACCAATGCTCAAATTCGCTCTGGATCCGGTGCCAAGACCATCAATGACAGTAAGATCAACTTTGTTTTATCTACAAATGTTACTTACCAAATATTAGCTTGAGATAATTACACATATTTGTTGGTGAATTAATTCTATTTGCTTACAACAAAATGTGCATATGTTATATCTGGAGAAATGTTATATTTTCACAGCTAAAGCTGAACGAGATTTTCAAAAGATGTTTAAACTAGAATCAGGACTAGAACGCACTTCAACTTCCAAAGTGTTTAAAGTTTCTGATTATGACATCAGCGACAATACTGATTACTTTCCACCAATACGTATTAGTGATTTACGTGTAGTTGAAGTATCTTATGAAAACCAAACAGTTACATTAACCTGGACAGCACCTGGAGGTGATTTGGACCATGGAACAGGTGAGTTGTAATTCTATGTCGTTTTTAGTAATATGCATGAATGGTTTTCAGGGTCAATTGTTGAGAATAAGTAGTGTGATTCATGAATTATTCACAATTTCTTCACAGCTGATGGATACGATTTACGTTATAGTGATAGTTATGATGAATTATTTGATGATTTTGAACAAGCAACACCTGTACAAGATTCCGACATCATTGAGGGACACCTTCTATCTGATCCAAAATCTGCGGGTGAAATAGAAATCATAACAATAAGAGTACCTTCACGTGGCGGAGGCATATTTTACCTTTTTGCCCTGAGGGCTTACGACGATGCTGATAACTATAGCAAAGTATCTAATATCGTGTCAGCCAACTTAG